CACACACAGCACCTTTAAAAAAACACAACACCCTCACACACAGCACACTAACAGCACCCTCACAAACACACACACAAACAGCACCATCTCAAATACACGACACTCACACAAACAGCACCCTCACAGGACAAACATACACACACAAACACCCTCACATCACACTAACAGCACCCTCACACACACACACATCACACTAACAGCACACACAGCAGTGTGTGTGTGTGTGTGTGTGTATATATATATATATATATATATATATATATATACATACATATACACACATATATATATATATACATACATACACACACACACACACACACGTCTTGTGTGTTTGTGCTTTAGGGTGCACACCCTAATGCAATAGGCTGCGCACGCCTATGTGAAAGCTGCACAATCATGCACACTTGTTTCCAGTTTAAAGATTCCCAATGACACCATTATCCATTTCACTGAATACCTAAATCACATATTTCAAGCATTTTATTTGCGACATATGTATAGCCATCCCAGTTGGAGAAGAATAGGTTCCTTCAACTCACCAGACTGAAAAATACCCTTTTAAAAAAATGTCTACGCTAGGTACCTTAATCACTACATGCAGCAGGATGGATTTGACTTACGTCATATTTTAATCACCTTCATCTTGGTCCAGGGGGTTCTCTAAGGTGCCGACGTCACTGCTGTACTCTCGCGCATGTGCAAGAGTACAGCAGCAGATTCCTCCATAGACACAGCCAATTCCCTGTACTGGTCACTGGTAATGAGTGGGGTAATTGACTCTTAGACTTTGCCTTGTGTTAAAGAAAGTCTGGAACAGGAGAAGTACAAAGACATATAGATTATTTCATAAAGATTCTATCTTTATGAAATACAAATTTTTAATATGGGGGTGACAGTGCAGCTTTAAAAACTGCAATGGTTTGCCCTCTAACCTGTGTCTTCATTGGGTGCCAATCCTTCTCTCATGCTGGGTGATGTGCATCTGGCTTCTGCAGAGCTGCAGAAGCCGGGTGCCAAACCACCCATCATTTATGGGCCTAGCGTGTTAGCAGAGTGCTCTCAGATAATGAATGAGCTGCTGTGCAAAGAATATGTACAGAATTGATACTCGGCAGCCAGGAACACTTCTTTTTAAAAAAATTTAAAAATGTATTTGAGTTTTTTTTTCCAAATCGATTTTTATCCACCAACTCATGATGACAGACAAAAGCCCATCCAACAGATAAAGCCCACATCATCAAGGAAAAAAGCATCCCGATCTCGTCCAATCTAATCCTTCTTATAGAGAAGCACTGGTGTACGAGATATGCATGCACAGCTAAATGCCACACCCCTCCAACAAAATTCTGCTTTTGGAAGCATTTGATTGCAGGACTGAGACTGAGGAAGCACCTCTAGTGTATGTCAGGAAGACAGTCACCACAGGTGTAATTACAAAAAGACAATGTTTTACATTGCCCTTTTTGTCCTTTATGTGGCGAACACCTCTAAAGTCACTGAACTACTATAACACTTCCCTGACCCTCTGTTCCTTCTTCCCTCCATAAGAGCCCAACCGACACTCATTCATCTCTATTCATAGGTTTCCCGAACAGCAGACCATGCTAACGGTTGGTCTGAACTTTAATGGGGTGGTATTTCCCCAAAACCCCATGAGCTATCTGGGGATATAAGACTTGTCGGGGTTCATAACTGTTTTTCCTGTATTTTCAGGGTTTTACTGCGTTCGGCTCTCTGTATCCAGGAGATAATTAACTTTCCAGTTTTTTACTCAATTGTCTCCCAGACAGAGAGACACCTTGGCGGGGTCAATGTTTAAAAGAATGGAGACCCCATGCTGAGGGTCTGGGCATAAAAAACTGCTTTCTGAGCAATAAAAACAGAACTATGTATTGTCTGGTTACTGGGGGAAAGAGATCTATAATCACAAACGGTTCTAGTCTGGCTGAGAGGAGAGTCTAGCTGAGGTAACTAGTCGGGTTACCAGGGGTCCGCCACACATTAGGCAAGAGTAAAACATTTCTAATGTTTTATGTATGAATAAATATATCAATGGTTAACGCTATTGGGACCTCCTGGCAGGCCCGGACTGGCCATCGGGCACACCGGGCAAATGCCCGGTGGGCCGCGGTGGCCGTGGGGCCGAGGCCGGCAGGGGAGGTCTCAGGATCTCCCCTGCCGGTCTATGCAGGGCCGGCACTATCCGAGCGCCGGCCCCGCTGTCTTCCACGGAGGGCCGGTGGGGAGATCAAAGAGCTCCCTCACCGGCCCATTTAAATAGACCTGCGGCTGGGGAGGGAGGGAGAGGAACCGGCGGAGCTCTATCTTGCAGCTCCGCCGGGTTCCTCTCGCGAGATCCGGCGCGTTGCCATGGCAACGACCGGATCTCGCGAGAGTGAACTCTAGCCCGCAGGCTAGAGTTCACTCACCACTGGACCACCAGGGATGATGTGAGTGTGCCGGTCCCCCCTCCTCCCAGCTACCACCATGCCGGTCCCCCCTCCCAGGCTAAAGGTAAGAGGGAGGGGGGATTTAATGCCTACTTAGGTTTTTTTTAATTTCTTTATTTACCCCCCCCCCACCCCCTTAGTTTTTTATTTACCCCCCCAACACACATTTACACACAGCACTCTCACACACATCATACACAGCACTCTCACACTCATCACACTCTGCACTCTTACACACAGCACTCTCACACTCTGCACTCATCACACTCTGCATCATACACAGCACTCTCACACTCATCACACTCTGCACTCACACAGCACTCTCACACTCATCACACTCTGCACTCTCACACACATCATACACAGCACTCTCACACTCATCACACTCTGCACTCTTACACACAGCACTCTCACACTCATCACACTCTGCACTCTCACACACATCATACACAGCACTCTCACACTCATCACACTCTGCACTCTTACACACAGCACTCTCACACTCATCACACTCTGCACTCTCACACACATCATACACAGCACTCTCACACTCATCACTCATCACACTCTGCACTCATCACACTCTGCACTCTCACACACATCACACTCTGCACTCTCACACACATCATACGCAGCACTCTCATACACAGCACTCTCACACTCATCACACTCTGCACTCACACACAGCACTCTCACACTCATCCACTCTTACACTCATCACACTCTGCACTCTCACACACATCATACACAGCACTCTCATACACAGCACTCTCACACTCATCACACTCTGCACTCTCACACACATCATACACAGCACTCTCACACACATCACACTCTGCACTCTCACACACATCATACACAGCACTCTCATACACAGCACTCTCACACTCATCACACTCTGCACTCACACTCTGCACTCTCACACACAGCACTCTCACACTCATCACACTCTGCACTCTCACACACAGCACTCTCACACTCATCACACTCTGCACTCTCACACTCATCACACTCTGCACTCTTACACACATCATACACAGCACTCTTACACTCATCACACTCTGCACTCTCACACACATCATACACAGCACTCTCATACACAGCACTCTCACACTCTGCACTCTCACACACATCATACACAGCACTCTCACACTCTGCACTCTCACACACATCATACACAGCACTCTCATACACAGCACACTCACACTCATCACACTCTGCACTCTCACACACATCATACACAGCACTCTCACACACATCATACACAGCACTCTCATACACAGCACTCTCACACTCATCACACTCTGCACTCTCACACACATCATACACAGCACTCTCATACTCTGCACTATCATACACAGCACTCTCACACTCAGCACTCTCACACACATCATACACAGCACTCTCACACACAGCACTCTCACACACATCATACACCGCACTCTCATACACACATCATACACAGCACTCTCACACTCAGCACTCTCACATGCATCATACACAGCACTCTCACACTCAGCACTCTCACACACATCATACACAGCACTCTCACACACAGCATTCTCACACACATCACACTCTGCACTCTCACACACATCATACACAGCACCCACACACACAGCACCCTCACACACAGCACCCTCACACAAATCAATCACACACAGCACCCACACCTCACACACAGGATCCATCACACACACATACTGCACTCCTCACATACACACACAACCCCCCGATACACTGCCTAACACACATACACAATACTTCCAAACATATTTATATAATATATATACACATATAAATATACACACAGCACCCCTCACACACACACACAGCACCCCTCACACACACACACACACACACACACAGCACCCCTAAACACATTTCATTCCAGACACACATTAGATCCTCTACCCAACTCTGGATCATCTACACACATACACACACTAGATCCCTATATACACTCTGAATCCATTATATACGCACGCTCACTAGATCTCCTATACATATTCTGGGTCCTTCAAACACACACACACTCTGGATCCCCTATACGCACACTAGATTCCTTATAAGCAAACACATACTACATTCCCTGAACACACACTCTCTACAAACACTACATCACCTACACACACACACTATAGCCTGTATACACACACTTGCTACATCCCCTAAACACACATTCTCTAAAGCCCCTAGCCACATATGCATTACATTACACCACAAACACAACACGACTAAAACCGACCTTATTACACAATACCACACCACGACCAGCTCACTCTGCACACACGCAATACCCCAAGCAGGCTCCAAAACACATGCACAATACTCTTTCCTGACCCATTTGTCTCCTGGTATCCATTTATAGAGACACCAGAGACAAGTTGCAAGGAAACACAGTGCAAGCATGTTATTAAATTTGCTTGCACTGCGCAGAACAAATACAGGGCTTTTTTCTCATGCTAGAGCTCTTCAGCAGAACTCTGTGCATGGTCTGCCCTGGAAGAGCATTGAACCAACATGCTCACTTTGAGAGGGGGCGTGTTTGTCATGAGTGATGACAAAACACACCCTCTCTGCCCCGCCCCCTTCTTAGTGGGCCGCTGTGATAAAAAAATGCCCGGGCCGAATTTTTTTCCCAGTCCGGCCCTGCCTCCTGGGTCTTCTTCTCTTTGATTGCTACAGTGTTCAGTGTTCCTCCAAGAAAGTGTGGGGATTGTCCCTTCTCAAACACATGCTGTTTAACCCAGAGCTGGGCAGAACAGGTTCGGGTATACAGTATGTGAGCGCAATCCATTAGGGGTTATATTAGGGGTGCTGATAAACTGTGAAAATACTTTCTGTTCTATATGTATGTTTCTTTCCTTTTACACAGGAATGCAATGTGTTGATGTGAATATGGAGAATATGTTATATATTTTTAGAATTACATATATTTTAAAGTGACACTGTTAGCCCTCCTCCTAAAAAATAAGTATTTCATAAAGATCTCATGTGAAATACTCATGTTGACTGTGGTGGAATTTCACTGAAATTCCAAGCCAGTCAAGAGATATATTCAAAGTGGGGACTACTTTGTTTGTGTATTTATCCTCCGTCTGACTTTCTTAGCCTCAGGGTGGAGAGTCAGTCCCTAAAGCCATCACCAGGGATGGCTCCAGGGAATTGTCTGTGTCTATGGAGGATCAGATAATTTCGTGGGATTCTCCGTGCACCTCAATGCTGTACTCACCCGCATATATAAGAGTACAGCAGTGACATTGGCTCCGAAGAGGACCCGAAAGATCAAGATGGCCTCGCCTGAAAGGGAAAGGCTGTGGTAAGTAAATCTCACCTTTACCTGTCCTCCTGGCTACCAGACCCCCAAATTTGGCAAAGACCCCAAACAGTGACAGTGCTGCTTTAAATCACTAGCTAACTAGTTTTGACATTTATTTGGTCAATTTGTTTTCCATTATTCATGGAGTATGTGGCTAAATTTAATTTGGAAACACCTTTCTATATACTTTAGAGCAGTGTTTCTGCTTTTTACAGAAAAGTAACCCTGCAGGTCTTAACACACACATTTACAAAGAGCAAACTGACACACTTACATAGGACACTCTCACTGACAGACACACACACTTATACACACACATTTCCACATAGTGGACACTGAAACACACATTTACACAAATAGGACACTGACACACATTTACTCACAGAGGAAACTATCACACATATTTACACACAAAAGACACACTCACTGATTTGACACACACTGACAGACACACATTCACTGACAGACAAACATACTCACTGATAGACACACACAGTTACACAATGAGGATGTTGTAAAATATTTACACACAGAGGAAACTGACACACACTCACTGATTTGTCACACACACTCACTGTCTTGACACACACTGACACATTCACTGACAGACACACATTCACTGAGACACACTGATTTGACACAGACTGACAGACACACTCACTGACAGAGACACTCCGTGACAGACACACACATATTCTCTCACACACAAATATATATTTTTTTATTTCCTGTGGGATAGCTGGAGTGCATCCTTTCCACTCACGCAATGTTTAGTGATTCTGGGGCTGGAGTGACATCATAACCTGGCTCCCATCTGCAGGGCACACGAGGAAGCCAGTTCCCTTAACCAATGCTCCTTAACGAGAAGCATTGAACTGGGTCATCATTACAGTGGCGTTGCTGGAGGCTGAGAGGTGAGCAGCATCAGAGGAGTTTCAGCGTTGGTAAATCTTTATTATTTTTGGTGGTGGTGTGGATTTGGAAATGAGTAGGGACAGGGGCACTATAGATTTGCCTTGCACTTGTTTTGGTTATTTAAGCAATTGCAGTTTTAGGCCAAAATAACATCTATTATTATATTAAAAACAAAGGGCTAAAATGTATTATCATCCATTTGTCAGCTTTGTGGATTTTTTACAAGGGAGTTCAAGTTAATCAATAAGGAATAGCAGGAATGTTTCCTTGAAGCACACCATTTTCTTTAAGGATTTCCATGATTCCCATGCCAATATATGTTTTCTTCAAGAAACACATTTCAGGGTCAGCTCCAGCATTCCGATCTAGATACTTGACCCAGGCCTATTTTAGCAATTCTTCTTATGGCAAATCTAGAGGTGTTTTCTAACTATACAATGTTTTGTCTCTCAGATCAAGTGATAGATCCATAGTGGTGGTTCCTATTTTTAGAATGATTCATTCAAAATGCTCTTTTTACATTTCTTAACATATACTCACCTAATGAAAGTATCATTTGTACAGTGAGTTCTGAGGAAGCTGAAAACTTTTGGAGAAGGATTAGTGGTGGTGGGAGATGGCTGGAACATTGTGAAGGACCTAGCACTTGACAGCAGTTATCAGGGCCGGACTGGGAGAAAAATTCGGCCCGGGCATTTTTTTTAACACAGCGGCCCACTAAAAAGGGGGCGGGGCAGAGGAGGTGTGTTTTGTCATCACCAATGACAAACACGCCTCCTCTCAAAGTGAGCATGTTGGATCAATGCTCTTCCAGGGCAGACCATGCGCAGAGCTCTGCTGAAGAGCTCTAGCATGAGAAAAAAGTCCTGTATTTGTTCTGCACAGTGCAAGCAAATTTAATAACATGCTTGCACTATGTTTCCTTGCAACTTGTCTCTGGTGTCTCTATAAATGGATACCAGGTGACAAAAGGCCAGGAAAGAGTATTGTGCATGTGTTTGGAGCCTGCTTGTGGTATTGCGTGTGTGTAGAGTGAGCTGGTCGTGGTGTGGTATTGTGTAATAAGGTCGGTTTTAGTCGTGTTGTGTTTGTGGTGTAATGTGATGCATATGTGGCTCAGGAACCCCCTCCCGCCGGCTCTGGAAAGGGGTTAAAACTTACCTTTTTCCAGCGCCGGGCGGGGAGCTCTCCTCCTCCGATCCGCCCCGTGTCGGCTGAATGCGCACGCGCGGCAAGAGCTGCGCGCGCATTCAGCCGGTCGCATAGGAAAGCATTTATAATGCTTTCCTA